GATCTCCCTGGCAGAGGACCATGGCAGAGAGGACCATGGCAGAGATTACTGGCTGAGACCATGGCAGAGAGATGGCAATATTGGAATCAAGAGGCATGAGACAGATCGACGGGCTTGCCTGCCCAGACACTCAGAATACTGAATGTCTTGGGGCAGAAGTCTTGCTGGTGGAGTACGGTACACCTACGTGTATCCATTGGCAGAGCTAAAAGAGCTTTGTAACACTTGCCGGAGCAGGACAGAGGGCAGGTGAAGAGGCCAAAAGCTAGAGAGGCATACCTGAGGGTATGGCTGAGGGGAGACTGTCCTGATTGAAGGATAGTATCCTGAGAGCATTCCTGAACCTGAATTGTATACTATTACTTCCCTAATAAACCCCATAATCATGATGAGTGTCTATGAGTTCTGTGTGACCATTGCAACAAATTATTGTATCCAGCAGAGTAGTGAGTGGTGTGGGAGGGACATTTTGTGTCAGAATTGGTAAAAAGGCTGGAGGATGTTGGCATGTCTGGCCTCATAGAAATAAGCCTGGGGTTACTGATGGTGATTCTCTCTCTCCCCTCATGAGGTTGGAAGAGGTCAGTGGAGGATGCCACCCCCTGTGACCTTTTTGCACTCATATAATATTGAAACTTGGGGATGAAAACAATTCAGGCCTCAACTTTATGTCAAAAAAAATAATTGTTTTCTTCACTTTATAAACCATTTTGATTTTAAATATTTATTCATAATCAGAATTTTCTGAAAGTCTGGTTTGATTTTTACCTTTCTTTTCAGCATGGCACAAACTATAGCTTAGTGCTTAAAAATTGCTGTAGATGTAGTTAGTATATCGATATTAATAACCATATATACAAATTATTAAACTACCTTGATCCATTCTAAGTAGACTGAGAGTATAGAAAGATGAGTAAGTTGCTTATTTTTCTATAATCAATTTGACTAGCCATCATATTCATTTACGGTGAGCAGAGAAGGACTCACTCAGCCAAGATTCAGGTCATTTATCATGGGGGAGCAGAACACATAGTAAAAGTAAAACACATAGTAAGATCTTATAGAGTGGTAAGGCTGACAGGACTTTGAGGACTTTCTGTTGTCCTTAGTCTAACATTTCCTAGGCTGAGTTTATGCCCCACCCATTTTCTGCCACACCACTCTCAGTACTCTAACCATACTGACTTTCTCTAAATTCCTTGAATGAGTCATTCTCTTTCTTGTTAGATTCTCCATCAGGAACTTTCTATACCAACCCTTTCTCTTCTCTTCATCTATATGATGCCCACTTATCTTATGATTCAACTCAGAGATCACTTTCTTAGGGAAGCCATCCCTGACCAACTCTCATTCTACAGAAATTCACAGAAATACACACAAAATTAAGTTAATCCAACCACTCTTCATTCCTCATAGTACTGACCACTCCTCTTTTAATGTCATCATGTTTGTAAGTCTTGTTTAGTGTCTGTTTTCCCCACGAGTTTGTAACACGATGGGTACAGGGTATAGTACGTTGAATTCTGAGCACGCAGTGGGTAGTCAGTAAATGCTTGTAGAATGGATGAATGGGAGGGAGGAAGGAAAGGGAGAGAGGGATGGATGGATGGGGATGGGAGGGAGGGAGAGACGGAGGGAGGAAAGGAAGGAAAAGAAGTAAGAAATGGCAGGAAGAAAGGAGGAAGGAAGGACTTCTGTACAAGGTTGTGGCGTCTCTTTCCTAGAGAATTTAGAAATATTGGGAAATCTACTTCCATAGTGGTACTGCCTTGGAAACCCAAGGAGGGCTTGCTATGACTTGGGTCCAACTCGATGGCTCATGACAACAACAACTGACATTACTCTGGTCTGGCTGATTAGACTCTATCACTCTTCAAAGTCTGGGTTATGTTAAATGATCTATACTTTTTGCAGACCTTGGTCTGTTGGAAATGCAGCTCGTGTGCACTTCACTGGGAAGAATATGGAGAGAAATTGCACCAATTAGTTCAGCAAAGAGGAGAACACATTTATCCCAATTGAGCTCATGTAACAAGGGTAAGCTATGGTGACTCTCAAGTATTTGGCCCAGCTCCCTACTCTGTGAGAGGCAAGTGATAAAACTCTTCTCAGGCAGAGCCTGCATGGAGATGTTCCAGAAACTGTAGGACACAACCCTGTGGGTAGAAGGATAAATCTACTCCCACAAACCGTGGCCTGGTTCCTGTGTGCTTTTGAATTAAATGGAAGCTACAGCACTCGTGACACATGTTCTCTAAGGTGACCAATTTAAAAAAAACTCCTGTTCACCAGATAAAATGTCAGTGAACTGTCATTTAGTGAACAGAAGGATTCTTTTTTAAAAATTGTTTCATATGTGGGGACAAGTGAGGTTATTTTCCTTTAATGTTATTTTTAAATAGCATTGGGGGAATAAAACATAGTTGCTTCTAAGGGAAGCACATTTGAACAATGTCCCAGGAGAAAACAACTGTGGTTGGTGTGTTTCTGAACAAAATCAATTTTCTACTCCATATCATGTAGGTTATATACTCATCTTGCCTGCAATATTGAACTTAGTTCAACTTTTATTGTGAAGGCACTGATTGCCTGTGTTTTATTTCTTTCTGACCTGAAGAGTAACCAATAGGCATCGTGGTTTATAGTAAAGAGTATTGAGCATGGAAGCCAGACTGCTGGGTTCAGTCCTGGCCCACCAAGACTCTAGCTATTTGCTGAATATGTCCCATCCTAGTTTTTTCATTTAAGATTGGGGTAAAAATAGTGTTGTTGTGAGGTGGAAATATGAAACACATAGTAACCTATGTAAGTGCTAGCCATTCTCATTAAGTTACCGATTTATATGCATTCTTTCCACAGATATTTATTGAGCACATGTTGCTGTTGTTATTGTTAGACGTCATCAAGTTGATTCCAACTCATAGTGATCTTACGTATAACAGAAGGAAACATTGCTTAGTCCTGTGCCATCCTACAATTGTTGTTATGCTTTAAGCCCATTGTTGCAACCACTGTGTCATTCCTTCTCATTGAGAACTTCCTTTCCTTCCCTGACCCTCTACCAGTCATTACGTCCTTCTCCAGGAAAGAGTCCTTCCTCATAACGTGTCTAAAGTATATGAGACAAATTCTCATTATCCTGCTTCTAAGGAGCATTCTGGCTGTGCTTCTAAGACAGATGTGTTCTGGCAGTCATTAGGAGCCCTGGGTAGCATAGTGCCTAATGCATTTAACTGCTAATCAGAAGGCTGGAGGTTCAAACCCACCAGCCACTTCTTGGAAGGAAGGTTGGGAAATCAACTTATGTAGTGATACTGCCTCAGAAACCCAAGGAGAGGTCTCTATGGCAGTCAGTAGTTTATTCTATTTCTTCACCTACACCATTATTCAAATGTGTCAGTTCTTCTTCAGTCTTCCCTTTTCATTGCCCAGCTTAAGCACCTATTGTGTATCATAATTGTTGTTTTAGAGTAAAGATCATTTTGTCAGGGAACCTAAACACTTTCATGATTTTTGAATAAAAAGCTTAGAGAGATTCATGTAATTCTAGACCATGAGCAAAGCTACCTAAGGTGGAAAACATGCTGAGTGACATCATCCCCAAAGGGTTTAAATATAGATTACTACCAACTATATACTATTCAAACTCTTTATTTCATACCATGATAGTATGATTTAATTCTGAATCAAAAACACTTCCTGAACTTAAGGAACCCAAAACTATTTTACTGACAATGATCTTTTCTTTGGTTTAGCCCATCATTGAGTTCTTGTTGCGTAAGACAAATTGCAGCTACTAACTTCCATTGTATTTCCAATCTGCCTGTCTAATGAGGAGGAAAACCCACGACAATGTTGGACTAGTTTTGTGCATAGTCATCATCTCAGCAGTTCAGGGATCTATTCAACGACTGAGGTTGATGTACTGGATGCTGTAGTACCTTCCCAGATCTCCCTTCAGATCTAAGACACTCATTCCCCCAACTGTCTGGATTGTTGGCATTTGTCAGCTTTCAGCAGGGTCTGTCACTAGGAATTTCTTTCTGTCCCAGGAAGTTTGCTTCTTCTGAGTTTATGCCCTGTCACCAGAATAGCTCATGTTCAAAGGCTGGTTGAAGTGAGGATGCAAGACCTGACACCACCTTAATTTGGGTCAACTCTAAAGGACCATCCTCCCAGCTCCAGAGCTTCTTGTAGGACAGGCTGAAGTCCCTGGTGCAGCTGCAATATATTTCAGTTTTTCTTCATCTACCGAACCGTATGTCCCATCCTCTCTTCCTCACAGCTGTTGTAGCCAAGAAATCTCCCCAGTAAACATTTTGCATGTAAATAACCATCTCAAAGTCTATTTTCCAGGAAATCATTCTAAAATAGGGGCCTTTGACATCTTTCTTGGCTGTAAAATAAGTAGTAAACATAGTGCTTCAGTGTCATATGAGGCATAGGGTAAGTGTAAGGATTAACTAAGAGGATGAATGTAAAAGTGTTTAGCACAGAATCTGATGACTAGTAATTGCTCAGTAAATGTTAGTTGTTAATTGTTACTATCACCATCATCATCATCTTCATTAAAAAAAACAACTCACTGCCATCAAGTCAGATCCAACATATAGCCCTCATTGGGTTTCTGAGACAGTATCACTACAGAAGTAGATTGTCCAATCTTCCTTCAAAGGAGTGGCTGGTGGGTTTGAACCACCAGCCTTCTGGTTAGCAGTCAAATGCCTTAGGCACTATGCCACCAGTGCTCCCACCATCTTCATCATCACATTCGTTATTGTTAAAAAACAAACAAACAGGAAACGAAACATAAAGCCCAAGGCATGATGACTTCACAACTTTCTAACTTTCTACTCTATCATAAATCACTGTTGGATAGTAATACTGATTTAAAGGAGACTTTAGCTTGTCCTGAAGTGCTTCATTAATATGTAACTGTAAGCTCTATTAGTGAGACATTTGTCTTTCTCTCTCCTCACCCCACTCCCTGCATTTTTTAGTGATGGATGGGCAGACAGAGATGAAGTCATTGAAGGTTATGAGGTGGAAGCCAACGGGGGAATCACCATAAAGCTGCAGTCTCCAGAGGTCAGGTCATTTGATGATTATTTCCTGAAACTGAGGCTGGACACTAACACGAGGAATCCTTGGTTCCCTGAGTTCTGGCAACATCGGTTCCAGTGCCGCCTACCAGGACACCTTCTGGAAAATCCCAACTTTAAAAGAATCTGCACAGGTAACTTGTGTTTACAAAATAATGACTCTGAAATCTGGTTGTCTCCTCCAGGTCCTTGACAGCTTGTTGAATGACAGTGGAAATTGTCAAGGCTGGAGAACAAAAGACAATGCATTGTTATCTTGACTTATGAAATAGTTACATGGAAGGTGGAAGTGTGTATTTCCCCAGGGATTCATGTTCATAAATTCTGGAAAGATTGTTCCGGTCCATGGGAGGGAAAGAGATAAGAAGAAATAATATGAGTAAGGGAAAGTGAACTGAGAATTCAGATATGCATTATTCTAGTCAGAGGGAAGAGGTTTTATCCCAGGTACACTTAGATGTTAGCCACAGCACTGTGGCAGTGCTGGCTTGATTGCCTTTTCTTCTCTGTGACTAGCTTCCATATGCACATCAGGAGAAGGTAAGATGATAACACTCTTGGCCATACCACCAAGATGTAGGGAGCCATAGGTGATAAGAAACTTTGTACTCTCATCTATAAAGCCAAATCAGAGGGTGTCCAGGAAAACATTTTATGACCTGAATTAGCAATAGAACAAAAGTTAGACCTCTGCAGCCATGTATACTAATATTTTGGGTTTTCAATGTCATAATACATACTAGTGTCAAGGTTGAAGCTTGATTGGTTAATGTTCGCAGCAGGAAATAATAATTTGCAAATAGTTCTTATTTATGCTTGAATATTAAAGCTATTGTAAGAAATTCTTATGTGATTACAACCTTTAATAAACATGTCTGTGTTTGCATTTTATTATAGAGTCAAGTTTGGCAAATATTTCCCTTTGTTCTTAGGTCTAAGGAAGGCAGATTTTGTTAACTTTTCTATTTGAGACTAATTCATAAAATGTATTGATCTTTAATGCTGCAGAGGTCCTAGAATTTTATCTTCCATAGCCATTATCTATATTTTCAATAGATTTTTATTTATTCATGTAAACTTACCTTGCTTTTCAACTCTAATCTCTGTATTTCTGTGTAATTGGCTTCAGCATTATTGTAGAACAATGTATATTTTTACTTCATGTGTCCTTCTCATCCAGCTAAGAAATTTGAATATCAAGTGAGTTCCATAGTCTCCTAATGAATATGCAGGGACATTTATGAAAAGTAGTGTAAGGAAGTGAAATCAACCTTTCCATACTATTGATGGCTGCTAATTCTATCACTCATTTTTACTTCTTTGAATTGGGTCACTTCTGCTGTTTTAGGAAGTGTTGATAGTGTAGTTAGTTTCCATAGAAATCTTTATTGAGCTTAATCTCAGATGTCACTATGTAAATAAAGAGTTTATATGCACTAGATTGTCAGTTTGAATATTAAGGGTCCTGAGCCCAGGCTGAATAATTTGGGAATCACCGTGGCTAATTAAAAAGTACTCATGCAAAGTCCACATCACTGTGTAATTAGTTGAGCTATCAAAGGATTTGGAATGTGCTGGAAAAATGCTAATGAAACATTAAAGCCTAACTTTTAAAACATTAATCACTAGAACAGTGGAAAGAGTAGGTATAAAACAAATAAAAATCTCTTTCCCAGAAAATGTCTTAGATGCTTAAAGAATTAGTATCGTGTTTGCACTGGCATCATGCTTTATCACTCCTGATAAGAATTTTTGGAAGAGTCCATGGCAACTGATAGAGGATAACACTTTGAAGTACAGTCGTTGGTTTTAAGTCTGCTCTGTTACATATCCGCTGCATGATCTGGACAATCTCCCTGAACCTTTGAGTCTTAATTTCTGCACCTGGCACGTTGTAACAGTTTCTACCTCACACAGGTGTTACAAGCATTGAATGAAGTAATACAAGTAAAATATTTTGCAACCTGTAAATCTTACCATAAATGTAATGTGTTATGATTAGTGTCCTATCTTACCAGAGAGCAGATCAGGAATGATATAGATCATCTGAGTAAAAGTGATAGTTTGTGAAGGAGCCCTGGTGGCCAATGGTTAAGCACTGAGCTGCTAATCAAAAGGTTGGCAGTTTGAATTCACCCAGTGTTTCTGTGAGAGAAAGACTTAGTGATCTGTCCGTGAAGATTACAGCCAAGAAAACTCCAGGGGGCAGTTCTATTCTGTTACATGGGAACAGTGTGAGTTGGAATTGACTCAGTGTCATCCTCCAACAAGACCATTCTAGGGAATGTGGAAATGAGGGGGAAAAAAAAAAAAAAAGCATACTACCTTCAATCATCTTAACACAGTTACTTGCAAATATAGAAATTTTTTCCCTCTCTATATATATGCTTTCATAATACTTTTCTGATTATAAAAGTAATATATGCTTACTATGCTTATTATAAGGAGCTCTGATGGCATAGTGCCTAAGGCATTTGACTACTAACCAGAAGGTTGGCGTTTCAAACCCACCAGCCACTCTTTGGAATGAAGACTGGGCAATCTATTTCTGTAAAGATTTACAGCCTAAGAAACCCAAAGGGGGTCACTATGAATCAGAATTGACTTGATGGCAGTGAGTTTGGTTTTTTTTTTTGTTTGTTTATGTTTATTATGGGAGTCCCTGGGTGGCACAGATGGTTAAGCCCTTGACTACTAGCTGGAAGGTTATTGATTCTCACCCACCCAGAGGCCCCTGGGAAGACCAGCCTGCTGGTCTGATTTCTAAAGGACACAGCCTTGAAAACTCCATGGAGCAGTCATACTCTGTACATACGGGGTTGCCAACTAACTAAAAACAACAATGCTTATTTTATACAAGTTGGAAATATAGAAAATCTTAAGAAATAAGATGAAGGACATTAAGAATTTGACAACTAAGAACTAATCACTGTTAAAATTTTTGATATATCTTCTTCCTTATATAGTTTTAAATCATATAGTTAATATTTGTATACATATATATAAATTAATACTGCCTTCTCTTTTAAATTTATGTATTTATTTTAGCTATTACAATCTTTCATTCTTAATGGCTGCATAGCATTCTACATATAGATACCAAATAAACAAAAACCCAACACTACCCTCAAGTCGTATCCTACTCATCGCAACACCTCCTTGGGTTTCTGAAGTGGTATCACTGTGGACGAAGATTGCCCAGTCTTCCTTCCAAGGAGTGGCTGGAGGGTTTGAAGCACCAGTCTTCTGGTTAGCAGGCAAATGCCTTAGGCACTATGCCACCAGAGCTCCTACTTATAGATAAGCTATCATTTATTTAACCAGTTCATTCTTTCATTCTTCCTTTGCAGTAAGGCTGTTTCAGTTCTTCCCATATTTAAAAAATGCTATAGTGCTGTCATTAAAAAAAAAAAAAAAAAAATCCTTGTTCCTACACCTTTTTCTGAGTTGTGGATAATTTTCTAAAGATATAGTTCGAGATGTTGAGTTACTCAGTCAAAAAATATGACCATTTCTAAAACTTTGAAACTAAAAGTTTCCAAAAGGCAACTCCTACCAGCATTGGATGAAACCCTGTGCATTTTTGTTTAGTTTTGCACAGTTTTAATCACAGAGTGCATGTAATTCTGTATCTTTATTTTTCACTTACAATTATACTGTATGTATTTTTGATGTTATGGCATACCCTTTATAACCACCATTTTAATAGTTACATAATATTCTATCTACCCAATGAAAACACTGTAATTACTTAGCCATTCTTGAATTGTTGGATATTTAGATTACTTAGAATTTTCCTCCTTATAAAGACATATTATATAGTTTTCATGATGTTTGTTACTATTTTTAGATTGTTCCTTCATAATAAAGTCCTAAATATCTAATTATTGGTCTATGACCATGTTTTTTGGGGGGTTCCTTGAAAATACATATTGCCACTATCTTCCAGTATGACTACTAATATTTGCTATGATTAGGCAGTATATTAACTCTATGAGTTTATGTCTTCGTTATCTAGATCTGCTCTAACAGAAATACCACAAGTGGGTGGATTTAACCAACAGACATTTGTTTTGTCATAGTTTAGGAGGCTGCAAGTTCAAAATAAGGTTACTTGCCCAAGGAAAAGGCTTTCTCTGTTGGCTCTGGGGGAAGGGCTTTGTTTCTTCAGCTTGTTTCCTGATTCCTTGAAAATCTCTATGTGATATAGCATCTGTCTTCCCCATCTCTGCTTGTTTCTCTCTGCTTCATCAATTTGGTTTATATCTCAAAGGTTATTGGCTTAAGATGAACCCAACACTGACATGGCTTCGTTAACATAAGGCAACCCTATTCCCAAATGAGATTACAACCACAAGTTAACCAAAAATCTCAAACCCACTGCCATTGTGTTGATTCTAACTCAAAGTAACCCTATAGGACACAGTAGAACTGCCCCATAGGGTTTCCAAGGCTGTAAATCTTTACAGAAGCAGATGGTCTTATCTTTCTCCTGAGGAGAAACTTGTGGGTTTGAAACAAACTTCTGGTCAGCAGCAAAATATTTTAACCACTGTGTCACAAGAACTCCTTCCACAAGTTTCAAACCTCCAAACCATACTCACTGCCATTGAGTCACTTTTGACTCAAAGTGACCCCTAGTGGGTTTCCAAGGCTGTAAATCTTTACAGAAGCAGGTTGCCTTATCTTTCTTCTACGGAGCAGCTGATAGTTTCGACCTTTTGATTAGCAGCTAAATGCCTTAACCACTATGCCACCAGAGTGTCATTTCCACAAGTATAGGGGTTAAGCATCACTATATATATTTTGGAGCTCTGGTAGCATAGCACCGAAGGCATTTGACTGACTGCTAACCAGAAGGCTGGCGGTTCGAACCCACCAACCACTCCCCAGAAGGAAGGTGGGGCAATCTACTTGCGTAGTGATACTGCCTCAGAAACCCAAGGAGGGGTCGCTATGTGTCAGATCCGACACCACGGCAGTGGTTGCATTGTGTTTGCATTACACATATTTTAGGGGGAGACAATTCAGTCTGTAACATTTTACTGGGTTCATTATGCCCTCATAAGCTTTTTTTTTTTTTTTTCAATACAGTAAATTCACAACCATAATTTTACAAACTCTGTGGTCATCA